TCTAAAGAGGCAGTCAACCTCACAGCCATCCTCCACTGGGGAGAGGGTATCTTGCCACTCATCAGACCTCCTCTATTCACACATACCCAGCTTTGTTCGGCTAGGGATCCATGAGAATCTCCTGAAACATTCTTTCCTTGAATATCACTTGCACTCATCCCAGTTCAAACACATCCCAGAGTTCACATGTCCCTGTAGCATTGCTTGTGCGAGTCCATAACTGGGCACATTATGTCATATACTAAGCATGACTTTATTTACCTGCTTTCCACACAAAACAGTGAACCCCTCGGAGGCAGGAAAGTAAGTGACTATCGTCGGTATTCCAGCATTTAGCATTGTGTTTGTTCTACAGAAAGTTCTCCCAAAATATTTATTGGATCAAGGTAGGCAAACTGGACTTAAAAGCTGTAAACCTGCTTTCATTCCAACTCTAAATCTGTAATCCTGTGGGGTATTTAAGGTATAATCAATGCGGTCTACTTTGTTACTGTCTACATTTAATTAGTAGACATTTCAATTAATTCACACTGTTAGCAAGAGCTAACACACATTCTAATCTAGTTGGCTATCTGTGTTTACTTGCTTGATTAGAGCTGTTTCCCCATGTCTTGGGGGAAAAAAAGATCTGCTTTCACCTAAACCAGACTCACTGAGGCGATTGTCAAATAAAGCAAGCAGTGCAATTCAATAGAGATAGTTAACTTTTTTTTCCAAATAGATTACTGAATGATGAGATGGGGGTTTGATGAGTCAACTAACAATAAAAGGTATTGTCAATATTTAAAGCTTTGATTGGGGGGGAAGCCCCAAAATTTTTAAAGTGTTACCAGAAAAATGCCCATTGGGTTTTGTTCCTACAAAACATGGCTTTATAAAAAGGGGCAGACAATGAAACAGCACAATGTTCTTGTTGTGGTTATGTGCCATCAAGTAAACTCTGAGTCACAGTAATCCTACGAACGGCAGCTCTGAGCCAGGCTCTATCCTGGGCCAACTTCATCGTCTTCAGACATATCTGACCCCACTGCCATAGTCTATTTCAATCCATCTCATCCATGGTCTTCCTCTTCTGTGCTGACCCTCTACCCTTCCAAGCATGATGTCCTTCTCCAAGGACTCCAAGGTCTCTGCCAGTGGCATGCCCCATGTATGTGAGACTATAAGATAGAACTTCAAAATCCTTCCCTGCAAGGAGCAAAGTGGTTTCACCCTCTCCAAGATAGAGCTATTTGTTCTCTTGAGAGTTCATGGTGTTAGAAAGAAAAAAAAAATAGATGTATTTTTCTCTTCTAAAGTTACAAGATGGAGTTAAAGCTGAAACAAGAACTCTTTTCTGCAAATTATAAAGAGAAACTGCCTTGTCCTTGTACTGTTCTTGTGAATCAGCCAAGACTAGGTTCTGGTGCTATCATGCACTGAAACAAAGACATTCCAAACTTCCTCAAGCCCAAGACCCCTTCTTTCAAGCACAGGCCAAATTAGCAAACTGAATAAGAAAAGACTGTGAGGTCAAAACCCTTGACCAATAGGGTGAGATCCAGCCTTAGTTTTTGCATCAGAGATAAAACCAAAGCAGATCACTCAACTGGTGTGCTTGTTTGTCAGACATTGGTCTCCCCAGACATCCTTTTGCAGAAGTAAAATGCCTTTCCAAGATCTTTTGTTCTGCTGTGTTTCTGTCATTGACAACAAGTCGTATTTCTAACAATGGTATGTTTAATACTTTGCTCCAGAATCACAACTCAAAAGCTTCAGTTCTTCTGTCCTCGTTATTCATTCTCCAGTTCTCAGATGCATAACAAACAAGTGAGAAGGCCATGGCCGGTCCATGGCAGGTGCATCTTAGTCTCTAAAGTTCATAATAGAAGTCCAAATCTATCACATAGTGCAGAAAGATCATTGTTGTTGTTGTTGTTGTTGTTGTTGTTAGGTGCCACTGAGTTGAATACAACTCATAGCGACTCTATTAACAAAAGACCTGAAGCCTGTTCGATCCTGTGCCATCCTCATACTTTTTGACACACAAGAACCCATTGTGGCAACTACTAAAATATCATTAAAGCTATTAGATTGCTGTCTAGTTCAGTCCCCCCATCGGGAGCCTCCATCTGGTTTCTAAGACTGTAGTTTTTTACAGGAGGAGATTGGCCATCTATTCCCCCTTCATCACCAGCTGCTGGATTTGAACTGCTGATCTTTCAGTTGGTAACCTGACACATTAGACATGATGCTACCTGGGCTCCTTAATTTTTAAAACTATAATGTTGGCAATCTTGACTGAAATAATGGTATCCACAATCAAAACATAGTAAGTAATGACTTGGCACTAAATCTAAACTATGAAACAAAGGACAAGATGTCCTAACCAGCACGTATACAATGTGTTTTAACACCATAATTGTATAAGAAAACCACTGAGATTATGTCTCTCTGAATTCAGGTAGGAGCCTGAGGACTTTTTGTGTTTTACACCTTTAACTTTTAATACCAACAATTTATTGCATTTTATAACGTTTGTGTAAGTATCCTGACTTGGTCAATGGATTTGGAGAATGGTTTTGCGACTCTACCCTACTTAGAGATTATGATCCTAGAGATTATATTTGTAATTGAGACTTAGACCTTCTGATATGCTTGTACATGCATCTTCACATTTAGTATAAATTGAATGCAAATTCATAGACATGATTAGTTCAGTAATTCCCACAACACCTGCTTGGTTTACAGATTATGCTTGGAATTTCTTTCCCTTCCTTCCTTCTTTCTGTCTCAATATTTGATTGGTTTATTTCCCATTAGACTTGCATGGATGGCAAAGCCGGAAGGGAGTGAAAAGGTGTGAAAATTCAAGCTGATGAGATTTTTTATAAATTATGGCGTTCTTCTAGGGAGAAAAAGAGACTGAAAGTTTTGAAACTGCTAGTTATATTACTGCTGGTAATCTGAAAATAATCTAAAAAATACTCCAATGTTTCTGGCCTATACAATTAAAACTACTTGGGGGGCTTGAAAACACAGATTCTGGGGCCCCATTCCTGAAGTTTCCCAGTGAGCTGCTCTTCTGTAAGGTCTGAGAATGTGCATATTCTAAAAAAGTGTTGCAGACCCTACTCTCAGAGGTCTTCTTCTTGTTGTTTTTGATTACCGTCGAGTCATATTGACCCTATGCACAAAAGACCTGCAGCCTTTCTATAACCATCATCGTCGTTTCTCAAAGTTCACAGAGTTTCCAGAGGCATGTTGTGTAGGAAGTGGATGTCACTCCTGCTTCCAACGTGGTGGCCTAGGGGCCAAAGTTTGAAAGCTTATACTTTAAACCATCCTGGTTACAACCAGGGTGTCCTTTTGGAGACAAGAATGGTCAGAGGTCATCTCATATGCTTTGGCCATGTTGTCAGGAGAGACTAGTCCTTGGAAAAAAGACATCATGCTGAGAAGGGTAGAAGATCAGAAAAAGAGAGAAAGATCTTCAACAAAACGGATTGACACAGAGACTAACAATGGGCTAGAGCACGTCAGAGATCATGATGGTGACACAGGATGGGCCACAGTTCAAATCTGCTGTTGGTATGAATCATATGCATTGCAGTTGACGTGAATGCGCCTAACATCAATTTTATTTTTTATTTATACACGTTTATTTACAAAATTCAAGTATGTTGTTTTTCAGACCAGATTCTTCCAATTTCCCTCACCCCTAATATCAATTTTAAACATCGCTGACTCTCTTGTACAATCTGGTAAACCTCTCTGATGGTTCAAATTCACTAGTGCCACTGAGGGAAAAAGGCAGGCAATCCTTGGAAATCTAATGTCAAGTCAGCCTAAGAGTTGGTTCTAACTTGATGGCAAAGAGCTATTTAAAGTGCCACAGTGCATAACATATTTGACTGTTAACTGAAAGGTCAGCAGTTCCAATCCATCAGCTGTAAGGTTGAGAGAAAGTGAGACAGTCACAGTCTCTTACTCTGAAGGCTGACAGCCTCAGAAACCCAATGGAGGGCCTCTATGAGTAGGAAGGAACTTGAAAACAGTGGATGTTTAGGTTTAAGGTGTAAATCAGAGAAACCACAGTGACACAGTGGTTAAAGGGCCAGAGTGCTAGTCAAACCCAACAGCCACTCTGATGGGGAAGTCTGCTGTCTTCTTCTATGGAGATTTACTGCCCGGAAACCCTCTGGGGCAGTTCTGCTCTGTCCTATAGAATTGCTGTGCATCAGAACAGACTCACTGGCAATTTGGTTTGGTTTTGGTTTTAAGCTGTAAACCCATCAGAGCAGGGATCACTTCCGATAATACAACAGCCCTCTCTAATGCCTTCACAACCAAATGGTCACCTCCAGGTGCCTCTGGCATTTCACAGGCACCCCACAGATGTTGCATAATTCAGGGCAAAGACATGACATCGACGAAAAGACAGCCAGGTTAGGCAAAATGCGTTAAGGAACCTCTTTTATAAGTTCTATTTTAGCAGAACTATTTTCTCCCCTAAGCTACTGAATTTACTAAGTGAAGTCAAGCCACTTGACACAGCAAAGAAAACTGTACCCTAGTCTCTAACCTTCCAAAGAGCCTGCTATGACCTTGAGGAAGCTGAGTCACCATCATGACATAAAACCTCCGACGGTCTCCTTCTCCAGAAACACAACAGAGCCATTTCTTCAGTGAGGCTTCTGCCTCTTTGCAAAGGAGGGTTGATTCGCAATTATTCCTTAGAAAACCTGGCAGTCATAGTACCACTCACCCCAATAATTTCTTCAATTTTTCGTTTTTACTGCAAAATATATAACTGTGAATAGGGTATTATCTTAATAGAACCTTTTGAGACCCTAGATGCTGTGCTTTCCTTCTTTTTTAGAAAAGCAGTCAAATTTTGCCCCACAGATCTTTTGTACACAGGAGAACTGAGATAGCTCAAAGATCAGTCTGGGGAGAACAGAGAGCTGAAAGAAAGGCATTACTGGACAGTTGGTTAGCGTGGAACGTCGTGATCTTACCTATACACACTAGGTCCATAAAACCATACATTCCATAGCAGATCTGAAAAAGGATGTCCTTTCTCTGCCACACTGCATAGGGGCTGAAGGCAGACCAGAGAAGCCAGGTCACACTTGCTATTAAGAATAAGGATCCTAGGATTACAGCAATCATCTGAACTTTCTCAACCAGTGTTATAGAAATGCTCTGCCACTAAAAGAAAAACAGAGGCAGGTGAGAAAAAAGGTGCTGTGTGTAGAGCAAAAAGAAGAACATTTCCAGCCCCACTGTCTCTTCTTTCAGTTGGACTTTTTTTTCAATCCAACTGACCCCAAGTGAATTCTCCCCCACCCCATTTCATCCAGGCTACAGAAAACACAAGCAGATAAAAAGTGAATGAATCACCCTAATGCCATTCTTTCCAATCATTCACCATTGTGTAAATTCAATCTAGTTTTGCTAGTACTGAAAGTGACTGGCTAAAAAATACCTGGTACTGGGAATTACATCATCAACTTTCATGCATATATGAAATTAGAAAACTCGGGAGATACATAGTGAGGACACGCAGTCATTCATTATATGTGTATACAGTTTGGTATACTTGTCTCCCCCCCCCCAAAAAAAAAAGAAAGGTAGAAAGGACTCTTGTTTTTGTAGGAAAACAAATAGAAAACCCAAATATGTGAAGTAAGAGCAACAATGAAAAAAAGTCACTTTCAGTAACACAAATAAGAATAAAAAATATATGGAAACTATAAACACGTCTATCATCATTAATTGGCACCTTCCATACACTCAGACATCTCAGAGGACCTAACGGGTCATAACAGGAAGCCCTTTGGTTTCTCAAGATTTAGAATTTGTTTCTTTGAAACTCACAAACTGGGTGAGTACACGCTATCCAATGGTGAAAATCATTTTGATCTCCTGGGTATCGACATTTGGGAGGATGGGCAGTGCACACGATGCAAAGCCCTTCTGTCACGTTCTCAGGTTTGCATTATCGAGAGGGAAGCTGAGCCGTCACTTCACTGTGGTTTGGCTGTAAAGACGGGAAATTAAAACAACCTGCAAATCAAGGACTGCACCATGGCGTACTGGCTGTAGCAACATGGGAAGAATGCTTAAAACCACTCCACACAGTCTTTTAAAAAAACCTAAGTGCTCTAATTATCAGTGACCATTGGATGCATCCGAATTTCCCTTAAATTCCTTACTTACCTTAAGTTTGAAGAAGTGAAATCTCAAATGGAAAAGCTAACACTACCCACAGCTTGCCACAATTTGCCTCGTTTCCTTGTTTTCTCAATCTTTTGCTCTCTTACATACATGACATAAAAAAATATATCGTTAACATATAATAGCCTAAATGCACATTTGACTTCCCAAGTTCACATAAACCATATTGGTGGAAGATGTAGTATCAAAATATACTTAAAATAACAATATTTTTGAAATAACTTTTTTCGACCTTTTTAAAAGCAGATCTATATCACAAATTAAAGTTTGGGGGCATTCCTAAGAAATGTATTTGATTTAGATATGAAGATTCATTCACTGCCAACATTACTAATGTTTTTTCTTTAATTTTAAATGAACAGTAACTTGGCTACTCAATATTATTTCATTATTACCACTGAAGGAATACAGTAGTTTCCAGTGAAGTTTCAGTTTGATGCTCACTAAGATTTAGTTAAAAATTTTTTTGCTTAAAAACATGGTGAATGAACAACACAGAAAACTATCTCTAACTGGCATCTAGCCTAGATGGCTATAACCATGTCCTTATGTTATATGGAAGCCTTAATTAATTTACTAACACATACAGAAAAGATGAGATATCTTAAAATCCATGAGGCAGAGGGGTCCAAGTCATAAGTTTTGATTTTCACATAGTGGCTCACATGTTTAGAAATATGTATGCCTGGACCACAGTACTCTTTGGATAACTAAAGGAAGTTACACCAAAAATGGACTTTACTGATAGCTCCCATAGTGAATTATGGATGGAGCTTCTAATGGAAAAGTCACAAGTATGAGTCTACCAGCTACTTCATGAGAGAAAGATGAGTGGTCACCTTGTATAGGATTTATCGACTTCAAAGTCCAATGGGGAGCCATTATGAGTGAGAATAGACCTGACGGCAATTGGTTATTTCCCTTTTGCTAACAATACTGATATTACAGTTTCATATGTAATTTTGGGTGGGGATAAACTGGCACAACACAATATGTTCAGTGATTTTCTGCTTCATTCAGATTTACCAAAGACTTGATCCAAGTCTGCTGGCTTGATTGCATGTTGAGAATACAGTTAGTTACCACACGCACAACATGGTGAAGGCCTACTAGACACCCTGAGATAGAAGTGCTCCTGGTAATAGTTTGGACATAGCTGTGGTGTCTCCTCAAGAACTGGGGACAGTGTGTAGCATGTTGTATTCTTCACCAAAAAGTGGGCAGTTCAAATCCACCAGTTGCTCTGTAACACTCGTGGCACTCAACTCCCCCAGACTGAGTTAGTTTTGTTTGTTTTGTGTGTGGTATTTCCTGGGCTAGAGATGTCTGACACATGAAGCTGATTTTTTCCTTGCCAAGGCAGGTGACTTTAATTTCATACCACCTGAATTTCAGAATCATCTCAGGAACAGGATTGAGGCCTTGAACACTAATAAGTGAAGACCAGATGAGTTGTGGGAGGATGTTAAATGTATCATCCAGGAAGAGTGCAAACGGTTATTACAAAGACCGAAGAGGAAGAAAAGACCAAAATGGATGTCAGAAGAAACTCTGAAGATTGCACTGGACTGTAGAGAAGTCAAAGCACAAGGAAGAATCCAAGACACTAAAGAGCTGAACAGAAGATTCCAAAAGGCAGCACGGAATGACAAAGCAAAATACTACAATGAAATGTGCGAGGAGCTAGAGTCGGAAAATCCAAAGGGCCGAACTCGTTCAGCATTTAGCTGAAGGAACTGAAGAGCAAATTCAAACCTCGAGTTGCTGCAATCAAGGATGCTTTAGGCAGAATGTTAAATGATCCAGGAGGTATCAAAAGAAGATGGAAGGAATATACTGAGTCATTGTGCTGAAAGGAATTGGCAGATACAGAAGAAATTAATGAAATAGCATTTGAACCAGAGCCTATAGTGATGAAGGCAGAAGTTCAAGCTGCTTTGAAGGAAATAGCAAAAAATAAGGCCCCCGGAATAGATGATATACCAATTGATGTATTTCAGCTAACAGATGCTGCCGTGGATGTGCTCACCAAGTTGTGCCAAGAAATCTGGAGAACAACCACTTGGCCAACTGACTGGAAGAGATCTGTATTTGTTCCCATCCCAAAAAAGGGTGACCCAACTGAGTGTGGAAACTACAGAACAATATCATTGATTTCACATGCAAGCAAGATTCTACTGAAGATTATCCAAAAACGACTGGAACAGTACATCAGCAGAGAACTGCCAGAAGTCCAGGCTGGGTTTAGAAGGGGTCGTGGTACTAGGGATATTGTTGCTGATGTTAGATGGATCTTAGCTGAAAGCAGAGAATACCAGAAGAATGTCTATCTGTGTTTCATTGATTATGCAAAGGCTTTTGACTGCATGGATCATAACAAACTGTGGCTGATTCTGAGAAGAATAGGAATCCCAGAACATTTAATCGTGCTAATGCGAAACCTATACTTGGACCAAGAGGCAGTCGTCAGAACAGAGCAGGGCAACACTGCATGGTTCAAAATTGGGAAGGGTGTACGTCAGGGGTTTGTCCTATCTCCATACCTTTTCAACCTGTATGCAGAGCAGATTACCTGAGAGGCTGGGCTCTATGAGGAGAAGCGTGGCATTAGGATTGGTGGACGATCTATAAACAATCTGCGTTATGCAGATGACACAACCCTGCTCGCTGAAACTGAGGAGGACCTCATGCACTTACTGCCGAGGGTAAAGGACTGCAGCCTTCAATATGGACTGAGGCTCAATGTCAAGAAGACAAAAATTCTCACCACTGGACCAATCGGTAGCATCAGGATGGATGGAGAAGAAACTGAGATTGTTCACAGCTTCAGTTTGCTCGCCTCCAAGGTCAACATTCTTGGCACCAGTAGCCAGGAAATAAAAAAACGTATTGCTATGGGAAAGTCTGCAGTTAGGGACCTCTCTAAAGTACTCAAGAGCAACAGTGTCACTCTGGAGACTAAGGTGCGCCTGACACAGGCCATGGTTTTTGCAATCACCTGTTATGCATCAGAGAGTTGGACAATGACTAGGGAGGATAGAAGGAGAATTAACGCCCTCGAGCTGTGGTGCTGGAGAAGAGTATTGAATGTACCATGGACTGCCAAGAAAACAAACAGATTCATTGTAGAGAGGATTAAACCAGGCTGCTCCTTGGAGGCAAGGGTTCTGGGGCTTCGTCTGACATACTTTGGACATGTTGTAAGGAGAGACAGGTCTTTAGAGAGGGACATCATGCTGGGTAGAGTAGAGGGACAGCGCAGGAGGGGAAGACCCTCTATGAGGTGGATTGATTTAGTGACTGGGGTAATCGGGATGGGTGTGTCAGAGGCAATGAGACTGGCACAGGATAGAGTACGGTTTAGGGCTGTTGTACATAGGGTCACTATGAGTCGCAAATGACTCGACGGCACATAACAACAACAACAACAAGGCAGGTGAATGAGTGAAGGGTCAGATTGACTGCTACCCTACCCTCTGCCTTCAGAGAGTTGCTATTAAATGTCACAATCAACTCGATGACTCCTAACAACAATCCACTACCTCTGAGTTAATCTGGACTCATAATCACTCCAAAGATAGAGCACAATGTCCCACGGGGATTCTGAAGCTGTAAATGTTTAGCAAGACATACTTACTCATCATTTTTTGACAGAGCAGTTAGTGGGTTCAAACCAGTGGCCTTTTGGATAGCAGCCCAATGCTTAACCTCCCACCACCAGAGTTTCCTAAGACTTACGAGAACAAGAAATGATATCTGACCCTTGTTTGGTAATCCCAAATATAAATAGGGTTAAAATTGAAATGTCTAGTGATGTTGGAGGAGGATTTTGAAACTCCAGTCTTACATACTGTAGGCACATGGCTGGAAGGAGGGACCAGTCTTTGGAGAAGGACATCATGCTCGGAAGGGTGGATGGACAATGCAAGAGAGGAAGACCCTGGAGGAGATGGAATGGCTCAGTAACTGGG